AAGGATGACATGTCAAATATTAATACACGTGGAAGACAATAAGACCAAAAAATGTGATGACATCGAAAAAATAATAATATAAAAAAATATTATGAAAAATAAAACTTAAAAAATTTTTTTTTTTCTTTTTCCTTCTCTTTCCTTTTCTCTTTCTCCTTCCCCTTCCCCTTCCCTTTCCCCTTCCCTTTCTCTTTCCCCCTTCGAACCCAAGCGTGGCCTGGGTTCGACTTCGGCGGAACCCAGGCGCGGCCTAGGTTCGACTTCGGCGGAACCCAGGCATGGCCTAGGTTCGACTTCGACGAAACCCAGCGCCTGGGTTCGATGCCCAGCATGCTTGGGTTCCACCGAACCCAGCATGCCTGGGTTCGATGAAACCTAGGTGCTGGGTTCCTTAAGACCCAGCCGTGGGTTCCAAAAAAAAAAAAAGAAATTTATGTTTTCTTTGTTTGGGTTTTGTTGTTTGATGATATGAGAAATTGATTGATGAAGATGAAGAAGGCAAGGCAGCCGTTGGGTTTTTGCAGGTGGATGAAGATGAAGAAGGCAAGGCAGCCGTTGGGTTTTTGCAGGTGGATGAAGATGAAGAAGGCATAGTTTTGTTCTTTTCCTAGACAAGTTTAGAGTTTTTGGTTGATGATTATTTTTAGATTCCTGGTTCAGGACTATTAGATTTTAGTTTTGTTAAGGATTCTGTTCGAAATCTCTCCTTCTTCCCAAAATTTGTAGAATCTAGCACAAAGGTAAGTTCAAACTCTTCCCTTCTTCCCCACAATTGGTAGAATCTCTATAAATTTTAGTTGTATATTACAGAGCTTATAAATTTGTTGGTTGTATACGTTTATTATAGAATCTCTTTCAGTTGTATATTACTCATCCATATGTATGTGCTCAATGTTACCCATGACTTAATCTCATTCATGGTTTAGAGTTGAGTTAAGTAACTATTAATTTTATATAAGCCCTAGAGTGGTCTGAAGGGCATAATTGATTGGCTTGATTGCTAACAAGTTTGCAATTCATCTCAAATTGATTTTGGGTAGTGTTTCTTTATGGAAATTTTTCATGGCTGGTTTTGCCAACTGCATTGAGCTGTAGCCAGAGGTGATTTATACATGGCATTAAGAAATTGTAGAGGCTTATTCTTTTTTTTCCATAGGATAGTTAAAAGCGTGTTTGCAAGTTGTAAGGTGTCAACCAGATTCTTTGGATGAATTCAGTTTTGTTTCTTTTCTTGATGTTGCTTAAGTAGTTAAAGTTGCTAAATAGATGGTTGTTTGTGCTTCTTTGTTGTTACTTGGTTTTAGTACAAGTTCTAAAGGGAATCAAACTGATGGTGAGAGGCAAAGGGGAGATGGCGATACAGGTGGTGAAAGAGGTATTTTTTTTTTTCAATATCCCCCATTTCTTCCTTATTTTTTTTCCTCTATATTTTTCATTTCATTTTCACTTTTTGGGTTTCTTTGCTTTTGTGAGATTTAAGCACTAGGATAGTTAATAGGAGAAACACAACCTTCTCATAGTTGCTACAATGATCTCATTGTCACACGGTGGGTTTATAAACACCATAATAAACTCTTCTTTCGCTAAAGTTTTTATTTATGTTGCCTGCAAATAGCTATGGGAGCT